TTGGTTTCATCAGTCATATTTCAAATATGAAAATTAATCGTAAGCTTAGTGAACAGTTTGGGAGAATTTGATGTTTCCCCATACAAAGTGATAGGGGCTGCACTTGCATGCCTGAGAGGCATTTCAAAGATGGCTGCCAAGTGACATGCCTTAAAGGGACTTTGGTAGCGTCTGACATAGATATGTATAGATTCCCCATTCAACCGCTCCAAGCATGTAGACGCGTCCGCCATCTTGGAACGGTCAATTTGACATCATTCACCATACTATGGGTTCGCAGACCATCGGCTGTGCAGGATTGTGGCATCTTCGAATATTCATTGGTTACTATGGTGAATGACGTCAAGTTGACCATTACAATAAGGCGGACGGCTTACGTATAGCGGCCCATAGAAACAGTGGCTAATAAGGAATCTATATAAATCTATGACATCTGAGGTAAACACTACTGGCATCACCATGGTAACCCACAGAGCATACCTTCTCTACTGGCTAGAACTGTATTGTTTAAAACTCAGTCTTCAGTGGTGAATATTTATAAATGAATCAGTATGCAATAACTTTCCTTCAAATCATAAAATAATAAGTAAATACATAAATAGGTAAATAACAAATCAAACATTACAATTGTGAATACACAACGTTATATCACAATAAAAACTTCCAAAACTAATGTCCACTTTAACAATAATATCAAAGTGTAAAATTCCAGTATTAACAAGAATCCCACAAACTTAAAACATCTTCAGCCAAAGTAAGAGAATGTCAGATTTTATTTCAAATACTAAGAAAATACTTTCAAATAAAGCAGAAAAACATGTCCAAACTTTAAACTATTCTTTTCTCTTTAGTCATCATTTCATCTTTACCATTCTCTATAGCAAATGGACAGACAACGTCAGAATTCACTTCATCAACAACAGAAATACCTACATCCCGTGCAGATCACACAACAAGCCAGCAGACACAAACAACTCAGTTTACTTCTACCACAGAAACAGAACCTACAAGGACAGCTCAATCAACATTTACAATAGTTTTGACCCCTACGAGCATGTCAACAGTAGAATCATCTACACTTGAAAGTAGTTCAACACTGCAAGCTACATTGTCAACAACAGGTACCTCTCCATTTTCACCATCTACTACGACAGAAGGACAAAGCACATCAGAATTCACTTCATCAACAACAGAGATACCTAATTCCAGTGTAGAGCAAACAACCAGCCAGCAAACCCCTCAGTTTAGTTCTACCACAGAAACAGAACCTACAAGGACAGCTCAAACAGCATTTACAATAGTTATGACCCCAACGAACATGTCAACATTAGAATCATCTACCCTTGAAAGTGGTACAACAGTGGAAACGACATTATACACAACAGGTACCTCTCCATCTTCACCATCTACTACAACAGAAGGACAAAGTACATCAGAATTCACTTCATCAACAACAGAAATACCTACTTCCAGTGTAGAGCAAACAACAAGCCAGCAGGCACAAACCACTCAGTTTAGTTCTACCACAGAAACAGAACCTACAACAGCTCAATCAGCATTTACAACAGTTATGACCGCTATGAGCACGTCCACATTAGAATCATCTACACTTGAAAGTGGTTCAACACTGGAAGCTACATTATACACAAAAGGTACCTCTCCATCTTCACAGTCTACTACGACAGAAGGACAAACGACATTAGAATTCACTTCATCAACAACAGAAATACCTACTTCCAGTGTAGAGCAAACAACAAGCCAGCAGGCACAAACCACTCAATTTAGTTCTACCACAGAAACAGACAACAGGTACCTCTCCATCTTCACAGTCTACTACAACAGAAGGACAACGTACATCAGAATTCACTTCATCAACAACAGAAATACCTACTTCCAGTGTACAGCAAACAACAAGCCAGCAGGCACAAACCACTCAATTTAGTTCTACCACAGAAACAGAACCTACAACGACAGCTCAATCAACATTGGAAACTACATTGTCTACAAGAGGTACATCTCCATATTCACCGTCTACCAGAACAGAAGGACAAAGTACATCAGAACTGATTTCGTCAACAACAGAAATACCTACTTCCAGTGTAGAGCAAACAACAAGCCAGCAGGCACAAACCACACAGTTTAGTTCTACCACAGAAACAGAACCTACAACAGCTCAATCAGCATTTACAACAGTTATGACCGCTATGAGCACGTCCACATTAGAATCATCTACACTTGAAAGTGGTTCAACACTGGAAACTACATTATCCACAACAGGTACCTCTCCATCTTCACCATCTACTACAACAGAAGGACAAAGTACATCAGAATTCACTTCATCAACAAAAGAAATACCTACTTCCAGTGTAGAGCAATCAACAAGCCAGCAGGTACAAACCACACAGTTTAGTTCTACCACAGAAACAGAACCTACAACAGCTCAGTCAGCATTTACAACAGTTATGACCGCTATGAGCACGTCCACATTAGCATTATCTACACTTGAAAGTGGTTCAACACTGGAAACTACATTATCCACAACAGGTACCTCTCCATCTTCACCATCTACTACAACAGAAGGACAAAGTACATCAGAATTCACTTCATCAACAACAGAAATACCTACTTCCAGTGTAGAGCAAACAACAAGCCAGCAAACACAAACCACTCAGTTTAGTTCTACCACAGAAACAGAACCTACAACGACAGCTCAATCAACATTGGAAACTACAATGTCTACAACAGGTACCTCTCTATATTCACCGTCTACCACGACAGAAGGACAAAGTACATCAGAACTGATTTCATCAACTACAGAAATACCTACTTCCAGTGTAGAGCAAGTAACAAGCCAGCAAACACAAACCACTCAGTTTAGTTCTACCACAGAAACAGAACCTTCAACAGCTCAATCAGCATTTACAACAGTTATGACCGCTATGAGCACGTCCACATTAGAATCATCTACACTTGAAAGAGATTCAACACTGGAAACTACATTATCCACAACAGGTACCTCTCCATCTTCACCATCTACTACAACAGAAGGACAAAGTACATCAGAATTCACTTCATCAACAACAGATATACCTTCTTCCAGTGTACAGCAATCAACAGGCCAGCAGGCACAAACCACACAGTTTAGTTCTACCACAGAAGCAGAACCTACAGGGACAGCTCAATCAACATCTACAACAATTTTGACCCCTACGAGCATGTCGACATTAGAATCATCTACACTTGAAAGTGTTACAACAGTGGAAACTACATTATCCACAACAGGTACCTCTCCATCTTCACCGTCTACTACGACAGAAGGACAAACGACATCAGAATTCACTTCATCAAGAACAGAAATGCCTACCTCCAATGTAGAGCAATCAACAAGCCAGCAGGCACAAACCACACAGTTTAGTTCTACCCCAGAAACAGAACCTACAACAGCTCAATCAGCATTTACAACAGTTATGACCGCTATGAGCATGTCCACATTAGAATCATCTACACTTGAAAGTGGTTCAACGCTGGAAACGACATTATTCACAACAGGTACCTCTACATCTTCACCGTCTACTACAACAGAAGGACAAAGTACATCAGAATTCACTTCATCAACCACAGAAATACGTATTTCCAGTGTAGAGCAATCAACAAGCCAACAGGCACAAACCACACAGTTTAGTTCTACCACAGAAACAGAACCTACAACAGCTCAATCAGCATTTACAACAGTTATGACCGCTATGAGCACGTCCTCATTAAAATCATCTACACTTGAAAGTGGTTCAACACTGGAAACTAGATTATCCACAACAGGTACCTCTCCATCTTCACCATCTACTACGACAGAAGGACAAACGACATCAGAATTCACTTCATCAATAACAGAAATACTTACTTCCAATGTAGAGCAATCAACAAGCCAGCAGGCACAAACCACACAGTTTAGTTCTACACCAGAAACAGAACCTACAACAGCTCAATCAGCATTTACAACAATTATGACCGCTATGAGCACGTCCACATTAGAATCATCTACACTTGAAAGTGGTTCAACACTGGAAACTACATTATCCACAATAGGTACCTCTCCATCTTCAAAGTCTACTACAACAGAAGGACAAAGTACATCAGAATTCACTTCATCAACAACAGAAATACCTACTTCCAGTGTACAGCAAACAAGAAGCCAGCAGGCACAAACCACTCAGTTTAGTTCTACCACAGATACAGAACCTACAACGACAGCTCAATCAACATTGGAAACTACATTGTCTACGACAGGTACCTCTCCATATTCACCGTCTACCACAACAGAAGGACAAAGTACATCAGAACTGATTTCATCACCAACAGAAATACCTACTTCCAGTGTAGAGCAAACAACAAGCCAGCAAACACAATCCACTCAGTTTAGTTCTACCACAGAAACAGAACCTACAACGACAGCTCAATCAACATTTATAACAGTTATGACCCCGATGAGCATGTCCACATTAGAATCATCTACACCTGAAAGTGTTACAACAGAGGAAACTACATTATCCACAATAGGTACTTCTCCATTTTCACCTTCTATGGCACAACAAAGTACATCAGAACTGATTTCATCAACAACAGAAATAGCTACTTCCAGTGTAGAGCAAACAACAAGACAGCAAACACAAACTCAGTTTAGTTCAACCACAAAAACAGAACCTACAGTGACAGCTCAAATAACATATACAACAGTTTTGACCCCTGTGACCAAGACCACATTAGAATCATCTACACTTGAAAGTGGTTCAACGCTGGAAACGACATTATTCACAACAGGTACCTCTACATCTTCACCGTCTACTACAACAGAAGGACAAAGTACATCAGAATTCACTTCATCTACAACAGAAATATTGTCATCTAATGTAGAACGAACAAGTCATCTAACACAAACCACTCAGTTTCCTTCTACCACAGAATCAGAGTCTACATTGACAGCTCAATCAACATTTACAACAGCTATGTCCCCTACAAGCATGACAACATTTGAATCATCTACACTTGAAAGTGGTTCAACACTGGAAACTACATTATCCACAACAGGTACCTCTCCATCTTCACCATCTACTACAACAGAAGCACAAAGTACATCAGAACTGATTTCATCAACAGCAGAAATACCTACATCCAGCGTAAAGCAAACAACAAGCCAGCAAACACAAACCATTCAGTTTAGTTCTACCACAGAAACAGAACCTACAACAGCTCAATCAGCATTTACAACAGTTATGACCGCTATGAGCACGTCCACATTAGAATCATCTACACTTGAAAGTGGTTCAACACTGGAAACTACATTATCCACAACAGGTACCTCTCCATCTTCACCATCTACTACAACAGAAGGACAAAGTACATCAGAATTCACTTCATCAACAACAGAAATACCTACTTCCAGTGTAGAGCAAACAACAAGCCAGCAAACACAAACCACTCAGTTTAGTTCTACCACAGAAACAGAACCTACAACAGCTCAATCAGCATTTACAACAGTTATGACCGCTATGAGCACGTCCACATTAGAATCATCTACACTTGAAAGTGGTTCAACACTGGAAACTACATTATCCACAACAGGTACCTCTCCATCTTCACCATCTACTACAACAGAAGGACAAAGTACATCAGAATTCACTTCATCAACAACAGAAATACCTACTTCCAGTGTAGAGCAAACAACAAGCCAGCAAACACAAACCACTCAGTTTAGTTCTACCACAGAAACAGAACCTACAACAGCTCAATCAGCATTTACAACAGTTATGACCGCTATGAGCACGTCCACATTAGAATCATCTACACTTGAAAGTGGTTCAACACTGGAAACTACATTATCCACAACAGGTACCTCTCCATCTTCACCATCTACTACAACAGAAGGACAAAGTACATCAGAATTCACTTCATCAACAACAGAAATACCTACTTCCAGTGTAGAGCAAACAACAAGCCAGCAAACACAAACCACTCAGTTTAGTTCTACCACAGAAACAGAACCTACAACAGCTCAATCAGCATTTACAACAGTTATGACCGCTATGAGCACGTCCACATTAGAATCATCTACACTTGAAAGTGGTTCAACACTGGAAACTACATTATCCACAACAGGTACCTCTCCATCTTCACCATCTACTACAACAGAAGGACAAAGTACATCAGAATTCACTTCATCAACAACAGAAATACCTACTTCCAGTGTAGAGCAAACAACAAGCCAGCAAACACAAACCACTCAGTTTAGTTCTACCACAGAAACAGAACCTACAACAGCTCAATCAGCATTTACAACAGTTATGACCGCTATGAGCACGTCCACATTAGAATCATCTACACTTGAAAGTGGTTCAACACTGGAAACTACATTATCCACAACAGGTACCTCTCCATCTTCACCATCTACTACAACAGAAGGACAAAGTACATCAGAATTCACTTCATCAACAACAGAAATACCTACTTCCAGTGTAGAGCAAACAACAAGCCAGCAAACACAAACCACTCAGTTTAGTTCTACCACAGAAACAGAACCTACAACAGCTCAATCAGCATTTACAACAGTTATGACCGCTATGAGCACGTCCACATTAGAATCATCTACACTTGAAAGTGGTTCAACACTGGAAACTACATTATCCACAACAGGTACCTCTCCATCTTCACCATCTACTACAACAGAAGGACAAAGTACATCAGAATTCACTTCATCAACAACAGAAATACCTACTTCCAGTGTAGAGCAAACAACAAGCCAGCAAACACAAACCACTCAGTTTAGTTCTACCACAGAAACAGAACCTACAACAGCTCAATCAGCATTTACAACAGTTATGACCGCTATGAGCACGTCCACATTAGAATCATCTACACTTGAAAGTGGTTCAACACTGGAAACTACATTATCCACAACAGGTACCTCTCCATCTTCACCATCTACTACAACAGAAGGACAAAGTACATCAGAATTCACTTCATCAACAACAGAAATACCTACTTCCAGTGTAGAGCAAACAACAAGCCAGCAAACACAAACCACTCAGTTTAGTTCTACCACAGAAACAGAACCTACAACAGCTCAATCAGCATTTACAACAGTTATGACCGCTATGAGCACGTCCACATTAGAATCATCTACACTTGAAAGTGGTTCAACACTGGAAACTACATTATCCACAACAGGTACCTCTCCATCTTCACCATCTACTACAACAGAAGGACAAAGTACATCAGAATTCACTTCATCAACAACAGAAATACCTACTTCCAGTGTAGAGCAAACAACAAGCCAGCAAACACAAACCACTCAGTTTAGTTCTACCACAGAAACAGAACCTACAACAGCTCAATCAGCATTTACAACAGTTATGACCGCTATGAGCACGTCCACATTAGAATCATCTACACTTGAAAGTGGTTCAACACTGGAAACTACATTATCCACAATAGGTACTTCTCCATTTTCACCTTCTATGGCACAACAAAGTACATCAGAACTGATTTCATCAACAACAGAAATAGCTACTTCCAGTGTAGAGCAAACAACAAGACAGCAAACACAAACTCAGTTTAGTTCAACCACAAAAACAGAACCTACAGTGACAGCTCAAATAACATATACAACAGTTTTGACCCCTGTGACCAAGACCACATTAGAATCATCTACACTTGAAAGTGGTTCAACGCTGGAAACTACATTATTCACAACAGGTACCTCTACATCTTCACCGTCTACTACAACAGAACAAAGTACATCAGAATTCACGTCATCTACAACAGAAATATTGTCATTTAATGTAGAACGAACAAGTCATCTAACACAAACCAGTCAGTTTCCTTCTACCACAGAATCAGAATCTACATTGACAGCTCAATCAACATTTACAACAGCTATGTCCCCTACAAGCATGACAACATTAGAATCATCTACACTTGAAAGTGGTTCAACACTGGAAACTACATTATCCACAACAGGTACCTCTCCATCTTCACCATCTACTACAACAGAAGGACAAAGTACATCAGAACTGATTTCATCAACAGCAGAAATACCTACATCCAGCGTAAAGCAAACAACAAGCCAGCAAACACAAACCACTCAGTTTAGTTCTACCACAGAAACAGAACCTACAACAGCTCAATCAGCATTTACAACAGTTATGACTGCTATGAGCACGTCCACAATAGAATCATCTACACTTGAAAGTGGTTCAACACTGGAAATGACATTATCTACAAAAGGTACCTCTCCATCTTTACCATCTACTACAACAGAAGGACAAAGTACATCAGAATTCACTTTATTAACAGCAGAAATATCTACTTCCAGTGTAGAGCAAACAACAAGCAAGCAAACACAAACCACTCAGTTTAGTTCTACCACAGACACTGAACCTACAACAGCTCAATCAGCATTTACAACAGTTATGATCCCTACGAGCATTTCAACATTAGATTCATCTACACTTGAAAGTGTTACAACAGAGGAAACTACATTATCCACAATAGGTACCTCTCCATTTTCACCATCTACGACACAACAAAGTACATCAGAATTAATTTCATCAACAACAGAAATACCCACTTCCAGTATAGAGCAAACAACAAGCCAGCAGGCACAAACCACTCAGTTTAGTTCTACCACAGAAACTGAACCTACAACCGCTCAATCAGCATTTACAACAGTTATGACCCCTACGAGCATGTCAACATTAGAATTGTCTACACTTGAAAGTGGTTCAACACTGGAAACTATAATATCTAGAAGTACTTCTTTAGCTTCATCATCCCCATCGTCTACGACAGAAGGACAAACCACATCAAAATTTGCCTCATCTATAACAGAAATATCTTCATCTAGTGTAGAACAATCAACAAGCCAGCAGGCACAAACCACTCAATTTACTTCTACTAGAGAAACAGAATCTACAATGACAGGTCAATCAGCATTTACAACAGCTATGTCCCCTATGACCACGACCACATCATCTACACTTGAAAGTCGTTCGACACTGGAAACTACATTATCCAGAATAAGTACAACTCCATCTTCACTATTTACTACAACAGAAGGACAAACTTCCCCTGATCCTCAAACAATAACCCCAGCTGTTACAGCCCAAACATTTAGCATGTCTACATCATCCCAGTCGAGCCCTTCTGCTCAAACTAGTACCCAGAAAACTTCATCAACAGAACCTCATTCATCTGCAACAACTCTCAACTCAGTTTCAACAACTCAAAACTTTCTGGAGAATTGTCAGTGTAATGGGTCCCCATGCATCTTCAATGTAACATCTGGGAAATGTCAGTGTCAATGCAATTCTTTCACTTTTGGAGAGTATTGCAATTTTGCATATGACTTATCCACAGTTTTTTGGTGTGAGTATTTATCATACTACTATTCCTAAATTATCATTATTATTGTTTGTTTGTTTATGATTTAACGCCATGCGAGCTACCTCAGCTATATTCATGGCGAGAACAAGGTTAGTTAAGTTAAATTAAGTTTTTAAATTTGATCTTAGATAAAAATTCTAAAACTAAATCTGGCCTTACTTCATTAAAAATCTTTCCAAATGATCATTATTACACTTCGTGTTAAATAATTCTTTCATTGTGCTGTGGGTATTGAATCAATATTAAATTAGCACCCAAGATACTTATGAGTAATTTGTGAAGTGTGACAATTTAAGTTAGTTGTATTGTTGATTGTGTCACGTTTTAGCTAAAACATTTGTACTTATGTTGTAAAGCTAATATGATATACAACACACAGACATCCATTATTTACTTTTTCATTACAAAAGACTTAGCACAATAATTGTCACAATTTGCAGCACACTTATGTTGAAATCTTTTTAAATCTATAATTTATTTGTAGCTGAAAGCACACCCACAAGGAATGCAAGCATCTCTCTCAGAATTATGATGGACTATCTTACAGAGTATGAAAATATGGACTCACCAGAATCAAAAAAACTAATTTCCACCTTAAAACATGAGGTAAGTGTTTCTAGTTCCTTTTCTTGAGGTACTTTAAAGCTCACAAATTTGCTTACCATTATTTCACTGCATTGGCCCAAAAGTAGTCTGACTCTTAAGCTACACTTTAAAATGTATGAATGTTATTTGGATTAGATAACTTTAAACGTATTAAAAAAATTATCACAAGAGAAAAAGGTTAAATTAGATCAATGCATTTACTGCAATATTGCATACATTAACTCTAATTACTAATCTTAGTCAGGAGACGTAAATTAATATTTGATGGCAGTGAAACTTATTTTGTAATAATTTATATTTATTATTTGCATATTTGCAAAGTGTATTATGTATAAATATTTATATTAAGAAATACAAATTTTGAAGTTAAATGAAATGAAAAATGAAATTTAGATTTTTCTTTTTTTTAACAGCTTTCAATCCTTTGTAAAAGAACAGATGCACAACATTTCAAAGGTGTGCACATACGTAGGCTAATGTAAGGTGATTTTTCTTGAATTTCATACATTTACAAATATTTGCTAAGCAAAAGACATATTAATATGTGGCATGTATTTTTCCCATTTAGGCGAGGAAGTGTCCTTGCTGAAAGTATTGCAGTATATAACTATCCCAACAACAACTCGCAAATAATGTTTCTAAATAACGATTTGGGACCCACCCTGGAAAAAATCTTTTATGACTCCGATTCATTTAAAAATCTCAGCATAGCTCTCGGTAATGTTTCCATCCAAGATGCCCGAATTACCATGGAGCCAGTTAAAATATCAAGTAAGATACTTTTTTATTTTGGAAACAGATAACCTTGATGTAACATATTTAATTAAAGAAGAAGAAGACATTAATTTAAGGGATACATGGATTACTGTTCTACTGTTTCTGTTATATGGCTTATCTTTGTTCTGTGTAGATATTTCAGATCTGCAGCCATTTGTGCAATGCACACTGAATTTTGCAAACTTAACAGAGGAGATTGAAGATGGAGCATGGGTATGTGTAGGATCATGCAAAAAAAATCTCAACTTTTGCAATCAAAGAGGTGAATGCCTAAATGAAATAAATGGACCACAGTGCATGTAAGTCCTTCAAAGCAAATTCAGATGACTACAAACAAACTGTATAGTTTTCAGTTAATCAAATGATATTTAACTAAAAATGATTGAAATGGCTGCCCTCAGATATAAATAAATAAATAATTGATAAAAGCTTAATACTTTAGGAATTAACAGCATATTTAAATAAGAAGTTCAAAACTTAACAAAAATCACTTTTGAATTTGATGGGCAAGAAAGAAATATTAGCAAAAGTCAGGAACTTATCCTCTCCTACTCATTTTGCTAACTGTCTAGGTGTTACAGTTCTCCCTTTGAGGAGTACTATGGAGCACAGTGTGAGCTTTACAGCAGAGGGGCCGGTTTCTACGCTGTTCTCTTCGGCTGTTTAGCAGCTTTTGCTCTACTTATCATTGTCTTGGCTGTGATGATTGTGGTGCTCTACAGAGCCAAGAGGTCTGTATAACTGTTTCTGTGACTTATTCAAAGACCAGAACATCAAAAGAAACAAATAACACCATGATCTAATTTCAGCAGAACATCAAGCAAAAGGAGGTTTTCACTTTTTGACGACGACTTCTTTGATTTTACATCAAGAGGTACGATGTCTAGCTTTGCAAATGCTTTAGTAACTATACTTCAGTATCAGTAGATGAAACTCTCAAACATCAGAAATGAAAATATTATTGGTAACTGAAAATATTAACTATATTATTTCAGGATCCATAGACAGAGGTTATGGGCATCAAAATTTTTCAGTCACAGAAGATTCAGCACCTGAGTCTTTCAGCTCATACCATGAAAATACACCTGTACGGTAGGATGAGCAATTGTGCATATCATTTAATAAACTGGAAAAGGAACATAACATGTATTGGTCGTTGTTAGATTGATTCTTTTTTAATCACATTTTTTTTTCTCTCTGCTACAGATAAAGACCAGAGCAACTGAAGTGGTGGATGTCTGATGAACAGAAAAGACAGATATTACTTAAAATATTTTTAAAAGAATTCAGACATTATAATCTCAGGAAACCAACATCATTGTACATGTATTTACTGGGTTGGTGTCAGATTATTTAGAGTATTTCAAGTAAAATGATTGTCAAGAATCTCAGTTCATAATATTTACATTGCACAAGAACAATGTATAAAGTAGGCTATCTCTGTAAAACTCAGTCACTTGAAACTCAAAAGCAGTTATCTATGATACCAAGCACTCCACAGCATATGCATAAATCAGTAATAAACTAATTAAATAGATGGGGGTTGTTAAAATATGGTCCACTGCATTACACAAGCGCTCACCTGGAGTGATGCCACCGACACAATCAATCACAAAACATATCTGTTTTTGCACCCTATTGCACACATACCTTATATTATTATAATTTCTGTGACGCTTCAATAGAGGGCACATTTTTTATGGTTTATGGTTTGTCATTTAAAAGCAGATTTTCACACTCTCTACATCTATATTTGATAATTAATATACATTAGAAACTGTACTTCGGTCCAATAGCTGACGGTGTGGGCGGGGCTTCCTGCTTGATGCCACATAAATACAAACGCTTATCCAAAGCGACTTACAATATAGGAAATGCAGAGATTTGTTTTCTTGGTATGAGAGGGTGTCATATATAATCACATTTCTTATTCAAATTTCTGATCTATTTACAGTGCTACCACATTAACCAGCTGTAGAACAGTCAGTTATGTTGATGGTTTTTATGTTTTTTTTTGTTGGCACTGTACATTTACTGAGTGTACTATTTCTATGTTTTTTGTTATGATAGCATGCTTGTGTTTACACTGAGAGCACAATCAATTATTGTTAAATTAATATTTATAGGGAACATATTTATACTGTGGTGAATGTTTGCACATAAAATTCTTAAAATAAAGCATATGTACAACATTACAATGTATCGGCTACATTATCATGTTCAGCAGGATTTTGTTTAAAAAATGTTGCAATGTCATTATCAGGTCATTAGGAGGCACTATAGACTTAATTATACGCCATCTAGGCCTCACCTGTTTGGCTGACACTTCTTATCATCAAATGTGGCTTTTACTTGTAATGAATAGTAGGTTGGTGCATCTCAAAGTCTTTAGTCTTAGATGGACCTCAAAACAGAAAAAAAAAAAATCTAATATACCACATAATATAGCCTACCACATTTACTGAGCAAGTTCTGCATGACCACTTTCACAATGCACAAACAGCATTGAACAGACTGATTAATCTGTGTTCTCTTAAGCCATAAACACACTGCATGAGTTTTGGCTGTCCCAGACGAAAGATTGGCATCGTAAAAAAAATCGTGGCGATTTCTGTGATCGTGGCTCCTAATTGGTGGTCCTGTGTCGTACAGTGAGAGAGGTTCAAAGACGGCACACATAAAAAAATACATCTGCTAAAGTGTGATTTATCATGCTTTTTGTTTACTACTAGCACATGCTGCTGATGACATTTTATTCTTCTATAGTAACGTGTGTCGTATCCAGTGACGTCCTTAGGGTCCGGTGCGAGGTAGGGAGCGGGGCCCCTCGGTCCATTCGCGATCGCGTTCCGCGGGGTGGGGGTGTGGATGTGGTATATTGGGGGGGAGGGGGGTCCCCGCGGTCCATTCGCCGCGGGGGTCCCTCAAGCGCAGGGCCCGGTGCAACCGCACCAATTGCACCCCCCTAAGGACACCCTGGTCGTATCGTACGATGGGATTTGGGACCATCCTGCCAAATTTGGTGTTTCTAGGACTTACAGTTTTGGCTAGCCAGACACTTTTAGGGCAGAAAAAGAATAATAAAAGAAGAAGGTGCTTGGACCTTTAATTAATGTCGTTTGAAAGCTTAACACAAACCAGATCTTCATAGAACAAAACCACCACCTAGTGGCTGAATTCATCATATTATACACCTACTGTTTACACGTAGCAACATGAATATAAATAACGTTAAGTTGCTAGAACCTACAGACGTAACATACTTAATATTCATGAGCAAAGCTTTCACCATCGATAAACACTCTTATGCCAAGTGAAGGAAACTACAGAGCATAGGATGAAGTGAATTTTCAATCTGCAACATATTAAATACAAAACAAGGATCTGGTAAAATAATAAAGACTATAGATAGACTATAGATATCATAATATACACTTAGACTAAAATCACTTCACACTCCAACACAGGAGATGGCGGTACGCTAAAGAGCTGGTATGCGACCCGCCAATAAATCCCACAGAAGAAGAATGTAAACACTCTTCCGGTGCGGCAGGAAAAGATGTCGGCGCCCTTACGAATGTCATGTTGTTGACCGTCTCCAGATAATTGTGTTTAAGCGCTATTACATACACGTTAAGCTTACATTGAATAATATTACAAGCGTATCTACATGAAGTTACCGGATTTATAAGGTTTGTGTGTTTTTTTTTTACGCGAAATGTGGTATATAACGCTACTCCATGCTCTCATAAAGACTGACATATTTTTATATAATGTACCTTATTCGCTCAGGTATGGTGTTTTATAAATATTTTCTATTGACTTACTCTCTTTTGTCTTCAACAGAGTATCTGTCAGTCATGGTCCATTTATGTAAGTAGGTTTAATACAATTTATTCTAAGTATTAGTCATTTTTGACTACTCTCTAATTGTGCTTTCACACCTGGCCTGTTGTTTCGGAACCTGGCGCGTTTCCCCCCTTAGCTCGGTTCGTTTGGGCATATGTGAGCACGGCAATCGCATGTCTGTGGATGAGCACGTCTTCGCCATTCAAAATAAAAAAAGCACTTTTTCATTTTATAATGCCATCTTATTGCTCTTCTTCCTAGTAGGTGCATTTTAAAAATGTTTTCCCGATGAATCCTGAAATCCTGCTCAATGATAAATTAGTAAGGACAGCTACAAAAAAAAAAAAATAAGCCCGAAGCTGTTATCTTTCCATCCTGACGGATGACAGCCGTGACAGCTAATGCCGAGTTCACACTACATTCGAGTTCAAACTCGTCGGATCGCCGTTGTTTTCACACTGCGTGACTATCCGTGTTCACATTGCACGATGGATCGGCGACAGGGGGTTTCACATTGCATGACTTCACAATAGGATGAATTGCCGACAGCTCTGTCTGGTCCGCAAGCTACGTTTTGCAACAAAACACACGCGAGAAGTGATAAGGAAATAACGCGAGACGAACCCGCGTGCGTCAGACCGGAGTTCTCGCCAGCAAGACTGTAATTATTAATATATATAGTATATATATAGCCCGCAAATTGTCTGTGAGCTGATTTCCAAATTTAGCCAAATTCTTGTTTTTCGTTTTTTGCAAAAAATGAAAAAAACGAAAAAGAATTTTTCTACTTTCAGCATTAAATAATAGATACACTGACCATTAGATTTACAACTACAGACTAACAGACAACTACAGTTGAATCTGGGGAAGTCGTGGCCTAATGTTTAGAGAGTCGGACTCGTAACCCAAAGGTTGTGGGTTCGAGTCTCAAG